GAGAAGCAGGCTCCTCGCCGAGCAGGGAGCCCGATGCGGGACTCGATCCAGGGACTCCAGGATCATGACCTGAGCCGAAGGCAGTCACTTAACCAACTGAGCCACCCAGGCGCCCATTGAGCCACCCAGGCGCCCCATGTTGCTTTTGTGACTTGTGTTTTTAACATTATGAATATTTTATGTATTCCGCTTTATGAGAAAATGCAAGAAAGCACAGACTCTCCTAAAAAAGGCATGTCATGGAATTGGCTGTCATGGAAGGGGCCTGTTGTACCCCCAGAATCCATCATGGCTTAGGATCTCGGGCAGCTAGGCGAACCCATCTTAAAAAACAGCTGTGGGAATGGTGATATAATATGGAATAATGGAGTTGAAATTTTGTGCTAAGTAATGTTTTGAAACTAGATGCCACGTTGCCCGTGTGTTCCTAAATTGACAGGCATTGGGCAACATTCCACAATGTCTCTAGTTTCTGTCTTAACTGAGCTGGCTGGGAACACATCAAAAGTTACAGCTTCAAATTGTATGTGCTGCTTGCCATCCCGCGGGTGTGACAGAGGCACTTTCATTACTTTGCGTAGCTTATAACTCTTCTTTGAAATTACCTCTTTGAGTTGACGTTTCTCTTAGGTATAATCCACCCTAAGATTAAATTTGGTTAGCCCCTTCATAGTTCAGAATTTAAACTAGTTAAAAACCTTTATGCACTTCTTTATATTCAAGATAACATAGGCCTTGTTAATTTCAACCTTAAGAACTCCTCAGAGATTTTGTAGGGAATTTAGCAATAAATTCAGAAAACAATTTTGGTTATAATATGCGGTATTTTCATGAATAAAAATATGGCACTTCTGAGATATTCCAAAAGGAATCTGATTTAGTGCCTGGAGTTTAGAGTCATTTTCTCAACTGTGGACCTTACAAGGGCAGTTCAGTGGGAGTCCGTTTTCTGTGTACCCATTGTGGATAAATGTAAAGGGCGTCCTGCATCCAAACACCTGCTTCTCTCTTTCAGGCAACTTTTCTTACATACTACCTCATCCAGTAGGTCTACCAAGCAGTGATTCTCAAAACTTGCAGAGTTAAAGGAATCACCTGGGTAGCTTTAAAAAATTTACATTCTCAGATTCCAGCCACAGAGAACCTGAATTGGTAGGTGATAGGACGCTGGCCACAGGACCTCTCTTTTGGGCCCCTGTCCTGTCCTTAACAGATTGGTGACCCCACCGATCTACCCATGATATGCAGTGTATAGAGCAACCCTTAAAACAGCAGCAGAACAATGTGCATAGATTGGGAGGAGAAAGAGGCCACATGAGGCCACAGCCACAGCTGGAGGCGGAATCAGAGCCTTCATAAGAATACCCAAATGCTGAGCTGGAGACAAATGCATAGGCCATTCCACAAACTTTCAAACCAGTTTCTGGCTTAAAACGCTCTTCTTTCCCCAGATCTGTCGCGCGCGTGTGTGTGTGTGTGTGTGTGTGTGTGTGTGTGTTGGGCGGGACTCTCTCTTCCTTTCTTTAGTTTATTATACCAGTTAAATAGAAAATGAGAGAGAGAGAGATACAGGCAAAGATAGAGATATGGGCACTTCTGCGAAGTCCAAGACAGAAAAGAAAGACATTTAGTAGTAAACAAGAGAACACTTCTTGAAAAAAAAACATGTGGAGTAGTTCCTGGTGGGTGGGGAATAACAGTATTTTTTTCTCAGCTCTTTTGAAGACAACTTAGTACATTTGTATTTCAGTTTCCTAAGGGAATGGCTTTATTTATAAAGATTGAAAGCATCACCATCGAAGATGATCGGTCATTTAAAAGTCTTTCTTGTAAAGGGAACCCCCTGTTCATTCTAAGTTAAGCCAAGGAAGTCCTGAATAATCATCATTGATTCAACAAATATTTATTGATGATAAATAAATATGTAAGCCTCATGGGGCTTACAACGTGAAGGGGGTACAGATAAATAAAGACAGTGACACCTCTAGGTGGCAAGTGCTGTGATGGGGAGTCACAGAAGACAGGGAGCACCAGAGCCACTTTCATTACTTTGCGTAGCTTATAACTCTTCTTTGAAATTACCCAATCTTGGGGAGTGAGGGAAGGCTTCAGGAGGACAGGAGATCTCAAGTTGCATTGTGAAGGGGGAAAAGGAACTAACCAAAAGTGGCCAAGGAATTGAATGTGCTAAGGCCTGGGTATAAGAAAGCATGACCCATATCTGGAGACCTGAGCATGGTCCTCGATGCCCACACTAACTACGGCTGGCCAGTGATGGGGCTGGGGACTTAAGTGGTGGCCAGATCATGAAGGACCTTATCCATCACATGAAGAAGTTCGAAAGTTATATTTGGGCTACCTATTTCCTATGTAGCTTTTATATTTAGCCGCTTTTGTCTTCTTTCCATCACAGACATCACAATAACATAAGAAGTATTGCCATTCTGTTTGTTACAAATAACTAGGAACGTTCGAAAGTGGCACGTGTATGTAAGAGGGTTAACATGGAAGGCTTTCATCCACAGGAAGTCGTGCTTTCAAGGTTGGCCCTTGGCTGGTCAAGTCTCCCACACTGATAGAAAACTTTCCCTAACTAATAAGGTTGGCTCACTATATCTAGACTATGCAAACAGTGTGGTTTATGCTGGAATTTTGGTACATGCTAGCTGACCAACTCCCAGTGAAACCCTTCAGTGCTGTCTCTAATGGGTTTCCCTAGGCAGAAACATCACACACATGTTGCTGCATTTTCATAGGTGGGGGAAGAACGTGCTCTGACCCTTCACGAGAGGGAGAACACACAAGAAAGCTGCAGTCGGATTCCTCCAGGCCCCACCTATCTCTCCCTGTTATGATCCACTGTATATCCTTACTGCATCGCTGTGATAAAACTTAGCCATAAGTACAACTCTATGCTAAGTCCCATGAGCCCTTCCAGTGAATTTCCTAGCATAGAGGAGGTGAGGATCACCAACACACCTGCTGTGACTGTTTACCTATAGATATTTATTGGATGAGGACAAGAAGTGAGCTATCAAATGGTAGAAGTACCAGTTTCCTTATTTTGTTTTTGTATATATATATTTAAAATCCAAACTCTTCTAACCCAGTTTGATCTCTCATCATTATTTCTTAAATTCTCAAACTTGGCTCTGAGTTACTTTTGACTTTTACTTTCAAATGACAAAAATGTGTTAGCTTTTAGGAGAGTCAAAGAAAGCTACTGGCTCTAAGGGCAATTTTTTTTTTTTAAAGATTTTATTTATTTATTTGACAGAGAGAGAGACAGTGAGAGAGGGAACACAAGCAGGGGGAGTGGGAGAGGGAGAAGCAGGCTTCCCGCAGAGCGAGGAGCCCGATGCGGGGCTCAATCCCAGGACCCTGGGATCATGACCTGAGCCGAAGGCAGACGCTTAACGACTGAGCCACCCAGGCGCCCCAGTCTAAGTGCAATTTTTAATCAACAGATCCAGAAAGGATTTGAAGTCCTTGGAATATTTATAGTGTCCCAAGATGACTTTGTTTTTTTTTTCCTTTTTCTTTTAACAGGTGGGGATTTACTTGATTGTGCAACTTCTAGTGTACTCACAGTCAGCTCCAGTATTATGGTGCTACACCATAATAGCCTCTCTGTCCATGTTAAAGATGCATTAGTATTTACAGAATAATATCCATGCACCAGATACTTTTCTATATCTTTTATTGGGAAATTCTACTAAGTCTTACTTGAATTACTTTTTAAACAATTAAAAGAAATCCTGAAGGAACTTACGGCCAACCAGGAGATCCTTGGATTTCTTTCTTTTCTTTTCTTTCTTTCTTTCTTCCTTCCTTCCTTCCTTTCTTTCTTTCTTTCTTTCTTGATTTTATTTATTTATTTGACAGAGAGAGACACAGCAAGAGAGGGAACACAAGCAGGGGGAGTGGGAGAGGGAGAAGCAGGCTTCCCGCTGAGCAGGGAGCCCAATGTGGGACTCGATCCCAGGACCCTGGGATCATGACCTGAGCTGAAGGCAGACGCTTAATGACTGAGCCACGCAGGTGCCCCAAATCCTTGGATTTCTTACAGGCTTTATCTTCAATTGGGTAAATTCCTTGGAGCTCTGCTCTCTCTCATGAAGTAACTGGCAGTGGTCTGCGACTCGGTTGAGCTGTCCCCCCTTAGACAGGCTTTCTGTTTCCTTTCCATCATCTTTGTCTCCCTTTGGACTGGGGTAGGACTGTCAACATGGTGGGCATAGGGCTCCCTGCTTTCTATTTGACCTTCATAGAAGCCTTTTCCGGGGCTCAGTAAGTAAAGAATGCTATTTCCTCAGCGTAGCTGGGCTTGTTATTGATCTTTATTTCTCGTCTAATTGGAGAGGATTTACAGTTCATAAATGGACTCTAATATAGAAGGTCCCTGGAGTTAGTATATGGCAACGCTGTGACTTCCCAGCAACGTGCACTTTTACAAGAGTAGTTTTCTCCATAAGGCTCTTTACGCTGTGCCTGCTCCCACTTTATTGCCTTTCTGTCCTTCATTTTTCTCCTTTATCCTCTCACTTGTCAGGTTGTCAGACTTCTCCCCTCAGTTGGCCATAAATACTTAATACTTAACTGCATTTACAGAATGAAGTTTTATATTTATTGTTCATAATTTCTAAGGCAAATGAAACATTTTTATTGTATTTCTCTGTTTACAGTAACTTCATAGGAACGTTTCTTATTGATGGGGGCCTAGATTTTTGTTGTTGTTGTTATGTTTGAGCAGGGGGATAGTTTTATTTGTTTGACTTGGTTTTGCCCTTCTGATCCAATAGCTTTAATGGGAAGTGGATTTTCTATTGCTGGTGTAAGTCTACTTAGCATCAGTTGCCAACAAAAATTCAGTTCTAATCAAAGGGTAGGTGATTTATGTAGCCCTTTGTATTTAAAGGCCTGCTTAATGAGGTATGTGAGTGTTGCAAGATTTGCTGGTGCATCCTCTACAGTGTGCCCTTTGATATTTTCTATTCTAGTTTTCCAGAGAGATGGTCATTCAGAGCCTACACATCTGTTCTGTATTTTGAACCTTGGATGAGAATATTCATTCAGGCCAAAAGAGTTAAAACAAAACACCTATGTTATTGCCTCTACAGACCCAGGTAACTCACCTTCTTTCAGTTAACTTCATAGAGTTTTTATTTATAAAATCAATATGCCCCTCTCCCTCAAATTGTCAAAATGATTTGATAGTAAGAATTTTTTTTATCATTTGATAGTAAGGTTTTTACTATTGTAAATAAAATTCAGACTGCTTCTGAGAGGTTTGCTGAAGAGTAATCATGTGTAACAAATATTTGGCTATAATAGCAACACACTGCCGTGAACACTCTGAAGTTAAAGAATCATTCCAAGGAGGAATTTATTTTTCACTCCACTGAATCTTAGGTGCTTTGATTGTGATAAGTTCCATTAAACAAATCACAATTCTGGGGCGCCTGGGTGGCTCAGTCTTTAGGCGTCTGCCTTCGGCTCAGGTCATGATCCCAGGGCCCTGGGATCGAGCCCCGCATCGGGCTCCCTGCTCCGCGGGAAGCCTGCTTCTCCCTCTCCCACTCCCCCTGCTTGTGTTCCCTCTCTTGCTGTCTCTTCCTCTGTCAAATAAATAAATAAAATCTTAAACAAAAAACCCCATCACAATTCACTTACGTGTTCTGTTTACACAAGATATTTGAACTATTAAATCATACATATATGTGTAGGTTTATTTTATGTGTAGAATGAACATATTTACAAACACAAATTTGGTTCACTTATATTTTAGCATGAAATTTTTTATTATACCATAATAAGTCTAGTGAACATACATAACCACATATAGTTATAAATTTTTCTTGTGATGAGAACTTTTAAGATCTACTCTCATAGCAACTTTCAAATACATAATACAGTATTGTTAACTGTGCTGTACATTACATACCCATGACTTAATCATTTTATAACCGGAAGTTTGTACCAGCATAAACTTTTTTTAAGCTGACATTTGCATATTATAAAATTCATCTTGCCCAACTGTACATGCAGTCAGACCAGTCTGTGTGTGTGTGTGTGTATGTGGTTTCTGGATGGTCATTCATTTACTCACCAAAACATTCATCAGAGTCTTCTGTGAGTCCTAAGATTGTGCTAGGTTCAAAGCATAAAAAAGATAAGATTAGTTTTGGTTTTGAGGAGCTTAATATCTACTGAGAGAAACATTTAATGCTTGTATGCTGTCTATATATACGCCTTTTTGCATGCATTGTTGTGTTTGACTTTTGCAGTGACACTGTGGGTCATATTTAATTATCACCATTTCAGAGATAAGGAAGTGTCACAACTGGACAAGAGTTCAAATATTCTGGCTTCAGATTCTTTACCAATTCACATTCACTGCTCCTTCCCCTATACCACACTAACTTTTTATAATAGACCTACATTTGTTATGTTGTCTTTTTTTCATGAAAAAGTAGTAGCTTTCCTGGGGCCTTGCAATCACTCATATCAATATTAATATTAAAGTTATAGATCTCTTTATCATATGCCCTGAATAAGTCTAGTTATCATCTGTCACCATACAAAGTTATTACAATATTTTGACTGTATTCCCTATGGTATACATTACATGCTCACGACTTATTTATTTTATAACTGGAAGCTTGTCCCTCTTAATCCCTGTCACTTGTTTTGCCTGCCCCCAACCTGTCCCTTCTCTGGTCATCAACATTTTGTTTATTGTATCAGTGACTCTGTTTCTGTTTTCTCTTGTTCATTTGTTTTTTAGATTTCACATATAAATGAAATTACATGGTTTTTGTCTTTCTTTGTCTGACTTATTTTACTTAGTCTAATACCCTGTAGGTCCATCCATGTTTTTACAAATGGCAAGATTTCATTCTTTTTTAATGGCTGAATAATATTCCATTGTGTGTGTGTGTGTGTGTGTGTGTGTAGGTATATGCGTACATACACATATGCACATACACACCCCCCACATCTGTTTTATCCTTTCATCTGTTGATGGACACAGGTTGCTTCCATATCTTGACTGTTGTAAATAATGCTACAGTGAACACAGGGGTGCATATATCACTTTGAAATGGTGTTTTCGTTTTCTTCAGGTAAGTACCCAGAAGAGGAATTGCTGAGTTGTATGGTATTCTTTCTTAATTTTTTTTTTAAAGATTTTATTTATTTGACAGAGAGACACAGCGAGAGAGGGAACACAAGCAGGGGGAGTGGGAGAGGGAGAAGCAGGCTTCCCGCTGAGCAGGGAGCCCGATGCGGGTCTCAATCCCAGGACCCTGGGATCCTGACCTGAGCTGAAGGCAGACGCTTAACGACTGAGCCACCCAGGTGCCCCTCTTTCTTAAATTTTTTGAGGAACCTCCATATTGTTTTGCACAGTGGCTGTACCATTTTACATTCCCACCAACAGTGTACAAGGGTTCTTTTTCTCCACATCTTTGCCAATACTCATTATTTTTTGTCTTTTTGATGGTAGCCAGTTGGACAGGTGTGAGGTGATATCTCATTGTGGTTTTTATTTTCATTTCACTGGTGAGTAGTGATATTGAACATCTTTTCATGTGTTTGTGGGCCATCTGTATGTCTTCTTTGGAAAATTGTCTATTAAAGTGCTTCACCCATTTTCAAATCAGGTTATTTTTTTGTTTTGTTTTGTTTTTTGATACTAAGTTGTATAAGTTCTTTACATATTTTGGATATTAACTTGTTGTTCATTGTTTGATTTGCAAATATCTTTTCCCATTCAGTAGGTTGCCTTTTCATTTTCTTCATGGCTTCCTTAGCTGTACAAAAACTTTTTAGTTTGATATAAACTCATTTATTAATTTTAGCTTTTGTTGCCCTTGCTTGTTGAGACTGTTCTAAAATAATATTGCTAATACCAATGCCAAAGAGCTTACCATCTATGTTTTCTTCTAGGAGTTTCATGGTTTCAGGTTTTAGGGTCAAGTCTTTAATCCATTTTGAATTTATGTTTGTATACGGTATAAGATGGTGATCCAGTTCATACTTTCACATGTAGCTGTCCAGTTTTCCCAACACCATTTATTGAAGAGATTGTATTTTCCCCATTGTATGTTCTTGCCTCCTTTATCATAGATTAATTGACCATATATGTATGAGTTTATTTCTGGGCTCTCTATTCCTTTCCATTGATCTGTGTGTTTGTTTTCATACCAGAACCATACTATTCTGATTATCATAGCTTTGCAGTATATTTGAAATCTGGAAGCATGACCTCCAGCTTGGTTTTTTCCCCTCAAAATTGCTTTGGCTATTTGGGGTGGTTCCATTCAAATTTTAGGATTCTTTGTTCTAGTTTTGTGAAAAATGTCATTGGTATTTTTATTTTGATGAGGATTGCAGTGAATGTGTAGATTGCTTTGTGTGGTATGAACATTTTAATGATATTAATTCTTCCAGTCTATGACATTGAGATATCTTTCCATTTATTTTTGTCTTCTCCAGTTTCTTTCATCAGTGCCTTATGGTTTAAATTTATTTCTGGGTATTTTATTCTTTTTGGTGCAGTTGTAAATGGAATTGTTTGCTTAATTCCTCTTTCCGATAGCTCATTATTAGCATATAGGAATGCAGCCAACTTCTTTGTTTAATTAATTAATTTTAGACTGTTGTATTAGTTTCAGGTGTACAATATAGCAATTCAACACTTCCATACATCACCCAGTGCTCATCACAAGAAGTGCACTCCTTAATCCCCATCACGTATTTAACCCAACCCCCCCCACCCTGGTAACCATCAGTTCTCTATGGTTAAGAGTCTATTTCTTTGTTTCTCTCTCTTTCTCTCTTTCCCTCTTTTTCCCTTTGAAACACAGCCAATTTCTGTATGTTAATTTTGTATCTTGAGGCTTTACCGAATTCATATATTAGTTCTAATAGTCTTTTGGTGATCTCTTTACGTTTTTTTATATGTAGTATGTTATCTGTAAATAGTGACAGTTTTACTTTTTTCTCTCTAATATGGATGTCTTTATTTCTTTTCCTTGCCTAATTGCTGTGGCTAGGACTTCCAGTACTATGTTAAATAAAAGTGGTGGTGAGAGTGGGCATCTTTGTCTTGTTCCTAATCTTACAGGGAAAGATGTTACCTTTTCACCATTAACTATGATGTTGCCTGTGGGTTTGTCCTTTTTTTATGTTGAGGTATGTTTCTTCCCACTTTGTTGAGAATTTTTATTGTAAATAGATGTTGAATTTTGTCAGATGCTTTTTTCTGTATCTATTGAGGTGATCATCTGATTTTTATCCTTTGTTTTATTAACATTGTGTATTACATTGATTGAATTGTGGATATTGAACCATCCTTGCATCCCTGGCATAAATCCCACTTGATCATGGTATATGATCCTTTGATGTATTTTTGAATTTGGTTTGCTGATATTTTGTTGAGGACTTTTGCATCTATGTTCAACAGCGATATACTGGCCTGCAATTTTCTTTTTTGGTGGTGTTTTTTTGTCTGGTTTTGGTATCAGAGTAATACTGGCCTCACAAAATGAGTTTGGAAGCATTCCTTCCTTTTCAATTTCTTGGAATAATTTGAGAAAGATAGGTACTAACTCTAAATGTTTGGTAGAATTCACCTGTGAAGCTGTCTGGTCCTGGACTTTTGTTTTTTAGAGTTTTAAAATTATTGATTTAATTTCATTACTTGTAATCTGTTCAGATTTTCTGTTCTTTATGATTCAGTCTGGAAGTTTGTGGGTTTCTAGAAATTTATTTTTACTAGGTTTTCCAATTTATTGGCATATAATTGTGTGTTGTAGTCTCTTCTGATCCTTTGTATTTCTGTTGTATCAGTGATAACTTCTCAATTTTCATTTCTGATTTTATTTATTTGGGTCCTCTTTCTCTCCCTTTTCCTCTCTCTCTTTTTGACATCTGGCTAGAGGTTTATTGATTTTGTTTATCTTTTCAAAAAAACTTTTTAGTTTAATTGATCTTTTCCATTGTTTTTTTAAATCTCTATTTCAGTTATTTCCACCCTGATCTTCATTATTTCCTTCCTTACACTAACTTGGGTTTCATTTGTTCTTCTTTTTCTAGTTACGTTAGGTGTATAGTTGGATTG